TTTATCACAATGCGAGAAATATATATATACATTTATGCAGATGTTTCATTATTTAATTTCTTCAAACATAATGTAGGTCTCTAACATTTGGTGGCTTCAGTTTGAATAGTGAAACGGACATTTATAGTGATTCAACACAAAATCCCATAACGAAAACAATAGTCCTTTAGGGGCAAAGCTTATTTGGACTAAAAAAGTAAATCATAAACTCTCATGCTAAAAGCAATAAATGAATAAATAACTAAGTAAATCAGGACACAAATCTACAACACTACAATAAAAAAGGATATTTCTATTATTTTTGGTCATAAGTGACTAAAAGTAAAATTGTGAGACTAATGGGAGATTTTCAAATCATAATTTACAAAGAGGGAATTGAACTAAATATATGCTATATATGAAATTTAAATGATAACACTTACAATCTTCCTTGAAATTCTTTTAGCGTCCCAAAGCCATTCTTATATCTGAATCTAATGCTTTCGTGTTTAATCGTGATTAACCAAGGATACAGTGGCAGCAACTTAAAATAGCAGGGTAACTTAAAATATTCTCCCCTTTTTTATATACATTTTATTTTACAGTGTTCGTTTGACGGAATGTAGGAGAATTACAAAGAAAATCATTTTTTCTTAAACAATAAACATAACAAACAAAGCACGTGATATCAGCTTTTCCCATGCTTTCCTGATTCATCCGATGGCGTGATATTACATACAGTTAATTGAATTTCTGTTTGATTTGGGAATACTATCTTATTATAACTTAAAATATTGGACTGTTAGAATGAATATATAAATTTTGGATTTAAAAATCTTTCGTTGTTATCAACCGCATAAAGAAATGAAATGATTCTTGAAAAATTACCAGAATTTAATAATTAATTTTACTAATTTTATATTAGTATTCTATAAAGAAATATTAGATCCCCTAATTGAATGTAGGAGGTCATAGAAAGTATAATTTGGAATATTATGTTCTCAACAATCATGCCTCATGCAATTTTTGAATTCATCAAAGCAATTTAGCTCCTTGAGACTTATGTACAAATTAACAATGAGCTGCACTTTAAATCTATTTAAATGAAAAAAAAAAAAACTATTTGAATAACAGGTGTTATGGATACTTTAAAACCAGAAAATAGAAACCATATTGCAGTTTGAGAGAAAAATGTATAATATTTTGATTCGCATAGTCCACCGAGTGGTAAAGTCGCTGAACACTGCTCGAGATTCAAATTCCGCGAACGGTCTGGCTTCATGGGTGTTTTTGTGGTTTTCCGTGTGTAACATATATCCGAGCCAGTTTTTCTAAGAAAGTTCTCCATGAAGACATCCTTCCCTTTATATAGATAGCTGTCGAGCGCTTTGCTATAATAAAATAAACCAAACCATTGACATACATAATTCTTTTAATCTTTTGTCGTTACACAAATTGCGTAACTATGAGGAATAAATAGACGTGTACTCTTTTTTCGATCCGATTAATAGGTAAGATGTAAAATGGAACTTCCAGTAAATCAAAGAATTATAAACTATTACACAGCAATTGCGTTTGCAAAGCGATCTTCGAAAAGGTAGTTGACAGCATTTAGTACTAAAATATTTTAATTTCGGTTTCCTAAAATCTTATCTGTTTTCGGATAGAATTTTCTAAACAGTTAATCATTAGTTTTGATCCAATGAATATCTACTGTCATTCGTTCGAAAGATAGTTAGGGAATAGTTAAAGCGTTTTAATGTAATGTATCAAAAACAGCAGTAGAAAGAGCAACAGAACATTTGATAGCCTATGGAGTATAAGGATTCAGTATTAAAACGATCCGCTGTTTCTCATCAGTAAAAATGATGTCTGGATGAATGAAAAAATACTGATGATAAAATAGGAATTGTCGCTTTTTGCGAGCTTGAACAGATGTGACCATCAAAAAAGATCATTAGCTTGTGATCTGAAATAGATCAGGAAATATGTCCATTCCAGATGTAAGATATTCTGATTTGAATGATAATTTTCAGCCCTACAAAAATATAAAAATTCTTTTTTTTTTAAATCACATTTGAAATTTCAGTTTCATATGCACACACGTTCTTAAAATATATTTCAAATGTCCCACCTCTCTTCTTTATAACCATAACATGAAAAAAATAATATACAGCCAGAAAACTATTCTAATATTTTAGACATGCAAATAGCCATAACACAAATAATCTGTAGTGTAAATTGGAAGGTGTTTCAAGTATGGTATCTGTGCTGTTATCTCAGTAAAAAAGTATTTTAAGAGTGAATACAACGCTATTTTGATAAAACATTCTGTATCTGCGTTTTCAACAAAATTCTTTACATGAAGAGATTTGATAGGATTTGTTATAATATCTTCTTTCTGTTGCGTGTCTCGAGGAAGGCAGTGCAGATTCTCGTTAGAAAAAAAATGAGTGTGATACGGAAGTACCTTATACGCAAGTGAAGCGATTACATTAGAATTCACCATTTTGGTAGAAACGGCTTCCCCTGTAAACAGTCCAAAAGAATGGGTGCTGAATATATTGTGGAAACACAAAGGAAACAAAATTGCATACCATGATTGAAAAATTGTTTCACTGAGGCTTCTCGCCCTTGTACGAATTTGATACGGATAAAGTATTTTCACCGTAAAACTGTGAACGGGTTAAAAGCTTAAACTCGCTGATGCTGCTGTCACAGATATTTTTTCCTCTACTTTAACTGAACACTTTTTTCCATGTGAAAATTTACCTGCTTTTAGTCCAGGTTCCAAAAACATTCTTTTCTCTCTCAATAGTGTTTTCAAACATTAATTAAAATTTTACGTTTGACAGGTGTTGATTTATTTCATGTATTCACATTTTATGTGGTATTTGCATTTTTCTGCCTGCAAATGAAAACCTCGCATTAAGAGGTTTTTCTTTCTTCCTTTTTTGTATTACATTGAATAAGAACTCGAAACAGATTGAGCTAAAATAATGAGTTTCACATTGTATTACCGCTTGTTTTTTTACGCTCAATAGCTTAGGAAAGTCCCGTTTCGTAGATTTTAATATTTGCATTGCAATAGGTTATCAGATTCCTTATTCACTCATGTAATTATCGAAACTTTCGAAAATTAAACAAATGTTATTCAAATGACAATTTGAATTTTTATTTGACATTTATTTGGCTAATGCACATAGCATATATTTTTAGAGACCACAGTTCACCGTATAATGCTTAGAGTCACATTCATTTTATACGAAAATTTGGTTAGTAAACTAGTCGTCATAATCAAAATGTCGAAATCTCCAAAAAATACAGATAGCAGATATTGGTTTGACAATGAAAAATGCCCATTCTGGAAGAAAGCAAAATTTTAAATCATAAGCTAGAGATTTCATTAAACACTGGAGTAACGGGCGTTACAAAAAGTTGATTTAATAATCCTCGGAAAAAAATTACAAATCAATTTACCCAAATTTTAGAATTTTTCTTTACTTTTTGTAGTAACACCATCTGATCATCAAGTGATTCCTTTTTAGTTTAAAAAAATAATTTTGGCCTTAAAACGGTAAATAAATGACAGTAAGTAAACTTATTAAATAGTAGAAGTTGAATCTAATTTAAATTTCCTTCGTAGACTGGGTCTCATGTTATAACATTAAAAATGCACACATGCCTTCCAAGTACAACTGTTTAAAATTAAACCGATCAAAATAACCAAAAAATTGCCCAAATAACAAATAAATGGCGGAGTTAATGTAATAATTATCATGAACAAAAACATTTATCGCTGACTTCAATTTCACTCATTCAGTCCAGCTATACCAACGCGTTGTTCTTACAATGGTGAGCTTACTAGATGTGTGATGCTTAATGTGGAAATTGTAGTGCGTTGTTGAGAAACAAATAGCGGGTCCAAAGCACGATTTTCTAAGCCACCGACAGGAATGCAACGGAATTTGCTTCGTTTGCGAGACTTCTGTAAGGGTAAATTTCCGAAAGATTTAAAAAAAAAAACCAAATTCAAAGGCGAAGATCTTTTCTTGAGCAGTATTCTCATAAATTTTCTTGACCAGTATTCTCATGAATGAATTAAATTCCATCCAATTGGATGGAAAATGCGAAGAAACCTGTCCGAGTACCACCTTTCTTCTTTGGACCAAGTAAAAAATTTTCACTTTACGTACAGTAGTTTTAATTGAATTCTTTACCATAACAACAACGCCTTCATTAAGCTGGACTGCATTTGAACGAACTTCCCGATAAGGATAAGTTTTTGTATATTTTCGCTTGCTATTGCGCTGAGCGTTTTTGATTGTTTTCCGTCAAAGCGCACGAAGTAATGTTCCTGAAATACCTATATTTAAACTAAAATTCAGGTTCAAGTGTACAATTACACAGACACATGCACATATACCAGTTTAGTCTAAAGTTTGCTGAAAAATTATTGAAAGCGTTCAAATGCAACAGTTTTCTGATACGAGTATATGTTTTAGAAACTTTGATGATATGATATGAACTGTTACTTTTGTTCAATTCTTTTCTTAACTTGCTTCTCAATTCTTTTACCTTTACTTGTATTTATCTAATTTTAGAATTGTTTGCATTAATAACCATATATTGCAAAAAAAAAAAAAAAATAAGAGTATTTAACAAAAGTACTAGCAATATGAGCTAGATATAGTAAAACATTCAACATAAAAAATAGAAATGCCCTTTAAACTTACGTGTTAAGGAAATACTAAACATTTATTAGATTTTCGTTTACCGGCATCATTTGCCATATTAAAATACATTTGATAAAAGTAATTCATTCTGTAATGCAAAAAAAAATTATTTGTATAATTTATATTGGTTAAAATGTATGAGCAAAATTTTCTGTTCAGTAATATTTAAGTCCATAAATATACGTCAATGTTCCCTTTTTCATATTTATTTTTCCAAAGCTGATTAAAACGTCCAAGGAATTTTTGATGAATTTTTGAAATGACCTTAATACTTTTCTCTTATAGGACCTCCTGAACCTGTACAGAACTGCTCAATTACAAATCAAACAGCAAATGTTTTGATGATATCCTGCGATGCAGGTGATGATGGTGGACTGCAGCAAACATTTCATTTGGAGGTATACAGTATGACAGCAGAGCAGCTCATCACCAATCTTACAACCAATGAAAGCCCTGTATTTGTTGCTGAGAAACTAAAATCTAGCTCTGCTTACATTTTGGTACTTTATGCTTCAAATCCAAAAGGTCGGAGCACCTCTGTGGCACTGACGGCAAGGACTTCATTCTCACCAGAGCCCAGAAGTAGTGAGTATGAAAATATCTTAGAATGCCTTGCTTTTTATAGCACTATTTTACTTGAAACAAATTGATCAAAATATAATTATTACTGAAAAAATCATTTAGGCATATTGAGACAGTAAAAGGATAAATTCATGAGAAAAATTTATTTTGATTTGATAAACTGATCATTAAATTTTCAGATCACTAAATCTGGGTTAGTCTTTCTGGCAAAAACTGAAATATATTGAAGTCATAAAATTATTGAAACTTTAGCATATATAATTTTTTAGCATTTAAAGGGTAAGGTTTTGCTAGTCTGAGAGATCAAGTAACCTCAGTATGAATACTAGAAAGTCCTAAGAGAAATTTAAATTTTGCAAAGGTAAACAATTAAAACGGCATTTACGGGAAAAAATTAAATTTGTGTATGCAGTGTTTAAAGAAAAAATTGTATTTATTTAAGACAGAGAGTTTCCCTTCAGCCAGACTTGACAAAACTCGACTTCCAGCTTTAGGAGAACTAGACAATTAAATGGAATGATATGATGTAATTCCATCGATGACTAAACAAAGGAGGTTCCTCTGTTTCCTAAACTACAGTTACATATTCAGTTACCTAGTCTGTTTATCACGCAATTGACACTGCCAAAACTCATAGGCTTTCGAATACGATTGGCCTTTTTCTCAATTTTGGGAAGTAACACTGCCCTACACATGTTGTTTTCCAGCATTTGGATTGTGTATTGTGTTAAAGGTATAATTCTAGATTTTAATGCTGTGATAGGTTTGTTTAAATTATGTTTGCGTTTTCATTTGGTAAGATTTTCCTTTCAAGTTCTAGGAACATTAAGAATAATTAAAATATAAATGAATTAAAATTGCTTTCCGTCCTACTCCTTTTCACTTTACATGAGATTTCAATGAAAGATCCTCATGCGTTATGTAACATAATCGATATTAATGATATAATTTTAATTGAGAGACTGTTGAACTCATTTCTAATCACTCATATTTAACATGGAAATTACAAATGGCTATAAGGAAGGAGGGAGCGCCTTTCATTAGTTTTAATGTTACAGCTTCCGTATTAAATACTATCTAAAAGAAAACATACGTTAGAAGAGAATGTCTTCAACTTAAAGAATAGAAACTGACTCTTATTTAACTATAGTTTGTTGGAAATCATATTAAACTGTCCAAGGGATGATTTTTAGGGAAACCGTTATTAGTTCTACGATTTTAAACATACATTTTTCAAGTATAAAACGCAATGAGTGAAGAAACACAATGAGCGGCAGTTTGAAATATTTAAATATTTTACAAGCAGGCTTTTCATTTAATTACGACGATTTAACAGATTGTTGAATTTAAACAAAGAATAAATAAAAGATGATGCAATTTAAAATAAATCCTAACTAATTATTTAACAGTGTAAGGAATCTTTGCATTCTCTTGAGTGTGTTGTAGTGTTTAAATCATTAGAACCGGCAGTTGACAATTGAAACATCCGTGGTACAGACGCACAAATAATCGATGACGTTTCCGGAAACGACAAAACTTACGTATATCTAAAAACCAATCCTAAACATCTCTAAAGTGGTTACCGATATAAAAGTGGGGTAAACTACAATTCGTTGGCCGATCTGGTTTCTTACTTTTGCTCTTTAAATGGGAAAGTATACAGAGAATTACTGACTTCTCCTGAGCGTGTTCTCGCGAAATGAGTGATTAAGCACAGCGACTGGGATTTCGAATGCTATCAAAGGTATAGTTATTTTTTCATGTTTCTCATATCCAAATAATAAGTACATTTCAAACTAAAATTTAGTTCAACAATTATTCTTTTTTCATTACAGAAAATCATTAAGTGGGAGCTTCTTTAAAGAAATATTTAATTAACTTAAAATTCTTAATTTATATTGAAAATTTATTATATTATTAATTTATTTTATTGTTGATTTAATTATATTAATTTTAGTTAATATTTATTACATTCAAACATAGTTTCCTTAGATTCATTAGCAGGGAAAAAGTAGTGATTAGTAGCGTTTCCTATTGAAAAATAAATGAATAAATAAAAAATCGTCAAACTCGCATCAATTTTGGTATACTTCTTATTTGATATCTTACGGGGAAACAGAATTAAAAAATTACATCCTCTGAGGGAACAAACTGAGATGCATCTAGTAAATCTCCAGTCTTTGAACTACTCTTGTCCTAACTGCAATTCACATATAACTGACATTTTCTAACTCCTTTGTCATTATTTATTAAATAATTAGTTCCATTGCTAAACACTAACCTGAAAACTGAAACGAATGCTCCCCACTTCAGTTTCTTGCACCAGTTCCGTGTGATTATCATGTATTTTTCGTGTTAACTAAAACGTACTCAAATGGAAAAATAATAAATAGAAATCGGAAATCTGCTATTGTCTCACCATTGCAGAAGTTCTTCAGTGACAATTATTTAGCACATTTTTTAAAATTTTATTTAAAGAAAAATAAATCCTCGTGCACCGCAAAGTATCACACGAGACTTACAAATCGTAAGTAAAAAAAGGCGAAATTGTAAGTAATAACATCAGTTTTCAATAATACAATAAAAACATACACAAAGAAAAAACACAAAAAAGTAAATACAAAAATATAAAAATGCTAATATTTAAAATAAAACATATAAAGTTCAAATCTAATATTTTAAATATTAGTGATCGTGTAAACGTGTGTTCGTGTGATCGTGTGATTCGTGTTTAAAATATTAGTGATCGAACTTGTTACACGACCACTAATATTTAAAGTAAAAGTCAACAAAATCGTTGAAAGCTCGGTAGGCCGAATCCGAAGATACAAAATCATAACATTTCGGAGGCCAATGAATTCCAGTTAATTCTAATATGCATTTCAATAGATTTCTTGCTTTGTTAAGCAATGAGCAGTCAAAAAGCAGGTGGAAAACACTTTGCTGAACGCTAAGACTGCAATAACACAAATTGGAAGTAACAGCTTAAATCATTCAAGATAAATATTAAACTTACCATGTCCATACAAAAATTGCGTAACTTTAAAATTGAGCAACAAGTCCTTACTTTTCAGTCTTTCAAAAATAATTGGGAAGAATGTTTTTGTAACAGATCTCTTATCAGAAGAGATATAATCACAATTCCACTGCTCAATCATTTTAGCTTTGAACGCTTTTTTAAAATAAGATTTTGGAATATTTACATCAACATTAATATCAATTTTAGTTGCATTCTTAGCAAGCCAATCAGCTCTTTCGTTTTCATATTTACCCGAATGACCACGGATAAATGTAAAAACACTGAAATACCCTTCTTCTCCAGATCTCCGAGAGACTGCTGTATATTAACAATAATATCATTACATAAGGAGGAATTTTTAAGAGATTCCAGGGCAGAGAGTGAATCCGTACAGATTAAGTAGCTGGAACCACGTCCAACCTGGCTAATTATCCATTTAATTGCAAAATTAATACACAGAAGCTCAGAAATATATGCAGTACATTGATTTCTAATGCGAAATTGGTGACACTCAATTTTAATATCATCTTCAAAAATAACATAAGCAAAACCAACTTTATCATCAATCCTTCTACCATCCGTATACAACACAAGTGAGAATGAATTTACATCAGTGTCCGTACTATCCAGAATCTGTACTGGTTGTCTTACAGAAGGATGTGGAAGAGCAGACAAGGGCAATAAACGATCAAAATGAGAACTGGAGTAGTTTGCAAGACTATTCTTGTAATCTATAAAGGTTAGAATAAACAAATCTAGTGGTATAAATCCGGCAAGAGAGAAAACAGCAAAACAGCATTGTGACTAATAGCTTGGGAACCCCTTATAACTCGCAGCAAAATTCTTCTTTGAACTCGAAGCAGGCGTTTAGAGTTAATTTTCGTTTTTAGAGACAATCCCCAAGCTCTACATCCATATGAGATAAAAGGTAAAATGCCTTGTTTATAAATAATTGCTCTAACATTATAATAATAATAATGTAATAGTTTTGGTGTTAAATCTCATTCGATTTAACACCAAAACTATTACATGCAATTCGATTCAGCCCACGCTGAAGTCTCTCACATTTATTAGAAATGTAGGAAATATGCTTTTTCCAGGATTTTGCATGGTTAAAGTTTGACTTAAAATCTATTGTCAAATGATAAATGAAATCTAAAACATCTTGGGCGAGATGAAAAGCTTTTTGCATTTCCTTTCCTTGAATACAAATCAGTAAATCATCTTCAAAGGCAATGACTTCACAACTAAAGAGATCAGAAAGTTTCTGTAAAAGATGATTCATAATAATAATCCAAAGCTTGGAACCGGAAACAGAGCCTTGTGGACATCCTCTCTGAGGTCGACAAACACTTGAGGTGCCACCCCAAAAACGCTCGACCGTCCTGTCTTTCAGCAAATCAGAAACAATATTATGAGGTATTCTCATTTAATTTAGTAAATTAAGAATCGCAGTCCACCATGCATTATTGAAAGCTCCTTCAATATCAAGAAAAATTAAAATAGTGTACAAACCTCTCGTCTTGCCTCTCTGTGCAATGTTGCTGAGACGCAGAAGTGCATTCTCAGCACATTTTTTAGCAATGAAACCATATTGGTTAGCGCTAAGAATATTTTCTTTATGTAGATGGCAAGTAATTCTGTTATTAATTAGTTTTTCAAAACATTTACCTAAAGAAGAAAGAAGACAGATATGAAAAACTGCAGGAAAAAGTCGATGAAAGTATCTTATAGTTTCATTGGGAATAGAATCCGGGCCAGGAGCCTTGCCAAACCTTAAATTACGAATTACATCATCAAACTCGGCCTACGAAACGGAGAATCAATCTGAGACGCATAATTACTGCGAGCAGATGAGCGCCACTGAGTATGAAAGTAATTATCAAACCTGACACAATCAGGAGGAAATGCTTTATCAGGAATAGCATCGATAGTTTCCTCCAAGTATTTAGCACATTGTTATGTGTTTATGCTATATAAATAT